AATGTATTGAAGTGCTCCATTTTAATAAAAGTTGGAACTGAGGGCTAAATGCCGAGCTTTTGAGATTTGCAGAAATCTAATGCAATCCTAATTGCTTGTGTGGCAATTTATGCATGCATTTAGGACTAAGTACTAGCTGTTGGAGGAAACTTATTTCAATGCCCCAAAATGGTGAGGCAAATGGTTTTGTTTTCATTCACTACTGACTGAATTCTTGTCCTTGAAACAGAATACCAGCTCAGACGATTTTTGTAATCTGTTCTTCTCTTAGTTCAATTTACTTCTTTAAGAAAAGACTGAAACAACAACAGTTCCTGATTTCATACAATCTTTTCACTGAATGCAACTTCAGTGTTTCAGTGAAATGTTATAACAAGGCCTTTCATTCAATAAGATATGCTGCTTCTGTAAAATCGTTTCAAATAATAGTATGCTAATGTTGTATTTATGTAGGGTGACCATATGTGCCATTATGCTTTCAAAATGCTCTCGAGCATAAGGAACCGTCTGTATGGTATTTTGATGTCATACACCGATCGGTCTGCACACGCAAACAAAGCCAAATCCTAGATATTTTAGGCAATTTAGAAATCCTGGCCAGGACGCGTCCTGGGAAAATGGCACGTATGGTCACCCTAATTTATGTTTAATTCAACAAGAAGCATAGTAGCATCTCATATTTAAATATGGTTTGATTTTGCATTTTTATTCAAGTTTGTATACATTGGTATACATTTGATCAGTTTAGTCATTGAGTCAAGATGCAGATGTTAAAAATGACAGGTGACATTACTTCAGGTTGACATTACAGTCTTTAAGATACTAACCCTCACTTACAAAGCCCTTCATTACCCTTTTCCTTCATATGTATCTGAATTACTTCAACCTTTTTGCAAATGTAGTAAGTCATGTAGTATACATACGCAATAAATAATGCTGAGTATACATTCTATTAACTGTAAATAGGTAAGTGTTGTAGTATGGTAGTATACTTTTCTCTGTAAGTAGAGACCAGATGCAATCCACCCAGGCTTTTAGTGCCATCTACTGTTGGATGTGCAATTCAAAACAGAAAATTTCATTACAAGGTGCAGTGCTATTTTAGTATCATTGAGATACTATGATGTTTTTTATTAATATTTTGAATTAGTTTTAATTTTAATGTTAGGTCATTTTAATTTTCATATTTGTTTTCATTTTAATGCTAGCTACCATGCTAGCATTGTATAGCCACAACTAAAATTCCTTAAAATGTTGAACAATCAAGATTTTATTATTTCTGAAAAATCAAGTGTTCATGAATTGTTCTCTAAACTTGATCTCCACTGTGTGTGTGTGTGTGTGTGTGTGTGTGTGTG